AGCTCACTTTGTGTTCGGCACTTCATATGACCATGATCTGGTCAATGTGTACAATTTTCTGCAGACCGCCATTTATGAGATAGATGTTGAGACAACCAAAGTAAATCCTAGGGTTGCAGAGTTGAGGGCTCGGATGCTGCGTTAAATAGTTGTTTTGCTATGATTGTTTCAGTATTAAGTTGAGTTGGAATGTTCTGCTTCATTTGTAAGAAGTACCAGACAAATGCTAATTCTCTGACCAAGCACTTAAAATTGATCCACGGACTTTGCTCTGGTAAGACACTTCGTCTTAAATGTGGTCAGGCAGGTTGTGCTCAAGTTTATGGCACATTTTCTGGGTTCAGAAAGCATCTCAATAAAGCACATGATAAACACACTTGTAATCCTGGTGAAGGCCCATCTACAACTGAAGAGACATTTGAAAGTCAAAATTTGCCCTCTATGAGTGCTGCTTCTGATACAGTCCCGCTTCAGAAATCTCTTGTGCATAGTTGTGCAACAGCAGTTGCAGAACTTAAATTTGCAGGTGTAAGTGAAAGAGCAATTAACTCTTTGGTAATTTCCCTGGAAGAAATAGTTAATGATTTTCAAAATCAAGCAAAAGAATCTGTGAAAAACAGTCTTTCTTTACAAGAACCTGTCAAAAGTGACATTGAGTGCAAAATTGATCAATGTTTTGAGAAAATGGAAAATCCTTTCAAGATATTAAATTCTGAAAGTAAAAGAACTCGTTTTTTGGCAGATAATTGGGGACGTGTAGACCCAGTAGAATATGTCCTTGACTTAAAAAGTCATGCATTCTAAATTCACTACAGTACTTCAGTACATGTGAAAACTTCTCAGTTGATATTATGCATGATATCTTGGAAGGAGTGGCACAATATGAAATGAAGCTGATTTTGTTGCATGTAGTTGACCAGTACACAACATTAAAGGATGTAGACAGGAGAATAAGGAGCTTTAACTATGGCTACATGGAACAAACCAACAAACCACCTGCAGTGAAGTTGGTAGAAGACTCAAATGACTTGGGGTTAAATGCCATCCAGTCCTGGTGTCTACTACGTAACCTACCACTCATCTTTGGAGACTTAGTTTGTCCAAATGATCAGCACTGGTATTTGCTGCAGCTGTTGCTTCACATAGTAAATATTGTTTTTTCACCAGTGTTATCAAAAGGCATTACTATTTTCTTAAAACACCTGATTGCCGAACATCACAGGTTATTCAAACATTTGTTTCCACAAAAAAAGTTGCTCCCAAAGCATCATTTTATGGTGCATTATCCTACATGCATACTCAAAATAGGCCCAATTCTACATAGCTGGTGCATGCGATACGAAGCTAAACACAATTTCTTTAAAAAACAATTGAAAAGTTTTAAAAATGTTACAAAAACCCTGGCATTAAAGCATCAAAGTCACATTGCTTTCAGTTGGCATACATTTGACCACAAGAGACTGACCATTGGACCAGGTAAAATGGTGCCTTTAAATGTACTGAAGTGGGGCTGTGAGATAGCAGAGACTCTTCAGTTACCAATCAACACCAAAGTATTAAATGTTAAATGGGCCAAACACCATGGAAATATGTATCGTGCAGATTTAGTTGTTTGTAAAGAAATGTTTTGTGAAATGCCAGTTTTCCATAAGATCTACAATGTTGTTGTGAAAGATGAGAGGTTACTGTTTGTTACATTTGCACTGCAAACAGTGTGTCTGAATGAGCATTTCAGTGCTTTTCAAGTTTTGTGTACAAGAGATGGACCTCATGTTATTTATGTAGAAGAGCTTTTCTGTGCCAGAGCTTTTGATTTACAGGTGTCATACAGTCATGAAGATGCAAATGTTTATATTGTTCCATACTGTTTCCTGTGAACAATAAAAATGGCTGTTCAAATACTGATTTCTGGTCTATGCATTGTACTCTTACAAACTCAGATGTGTATAATGGCTAAAAAAATTGCT